GACCATCCACGATCATCTAATCAAATAAACAAATAATTTAAACTAAATTCTATTTTTTATATATTTATACCATGAACAATAAGTTCAGCTGGTTCACTTGAATAAGTTCCAGCTATATTTGTTGCAACACACGTATAATTCCCAGCATCTGTTTGTTTTATTTGTGCAATAAGTAAAGAATTTTCATTTGATAATATAAATCTTCCATTACGATTTGTTTCAAGTGATTTCCCATCTTTTAACCATGTTATCTTAAACACAAACAAACAAATAAACGATGAGTTTTTCATTTCTATTCTCTTTCTTCTATCCGTTTTTTTTGTTTTCATGTTAAGTATATCATACATTAAAATTTTTGTTTTTTCGCTTATGAAAATATAAGGTATTACGGGTGTAATGATTAGTTCATCGATTATTCGATGGTCTATTCTTGTCTGAGTACGTGTGGTAACAGCAGGCAAGTTATTGAGAATTTAAGTGAACGAATACAACTGACAGGCATACCGCCTATCACACAGTATCGAGTATCTTAATATCATATATATATATTCATTGAATAATCAATCTAGTAGTATTCTTTGTATTAAACAACGTGTTATAATAATGAACTGATAGTATTATGAGAATATTGGAAGAGAAGACTAACTGAATTATCCGCTCATATAATGATGAGCTATTTATTTATATAAAGATCATTATATAATATATCTTACTTTTGGATATGGATTACCACTTGGAGGACGGCATCGTAATTCAGCTGATTTACTTATAACACTATCTGTTCGTAATGGTTCCCATTCAAATACTTTATCCAAATCTATAAAATAAAAATAATATACTATTTAAATTTGCCCTTTTCCTGGTCATCTAATTTGATCTGATTAGAGGATAAGTTTTTTTCTTTTACTAATAGATGTTACTAGATAAATGTCAAGTCATTTATAGACTTGAATAGTAATATTAAATCAACTTACAAGCTATTTCAATTGTTGCTGCTTTAGATTTCGATGTTCCACCTGTTGCTGACCATGCTTGACAAAAACATTTATATCCATTTGAATCAAGTTGCCCTTCAAGTTGTTCAGCTGTAATATCAATTGATGTTATAATAGTAATTACACCTTTATCCTAAATTAAATATAAGTTTATGTCTTTTTATGAATATAGAAAATTAAATAGTGAAAACTTACATTTGTTTCAGTTGATTTTGCATGTTCATGTTCAGGTACCCATTTATTATCACAATTAAAAAATATTTGACGTGTGCGTATTGCTTTACATTCAAGTTTAACAGGACGATTTTCAAATATATACGAAGATTTGGGTTCAAGTAGAAATTGTGGTTGTTCAACAAACGGCTGCATTTCACAGAAATAATCTCATCTAAAACAACTCACTTCAGACAATGCCGTCGACATATATATGTATACAAATGCGTATGCTCGTTCTTTCGTTTCAACTCTTTTTTTTTCTCTACAGAGAAAGAAAAGGAGAAGAAGAAGAAGAAAAAGAAAATGGCGACAACAATCTCTTCTTCTTCTCGTTTAATATTTGGTGATATATACTAATATCACTAGATGAGTCAACAATTGAGGATTAGAATATCTAATCTTTAACTCAAAAGAAATATATCTGCCTGTTTAATATATATTGATCATATTACAAACGGATATCCCCGATAGATGATTGTCAGTAACATACACACTCTATAGATTATTGACTACGTGTCTACTAGTCGAAATGAGTAAATAATTAAGTCGAATTTTTAGATATTAAGCAGAGACGCGGTGCCAGTTGTGTTTACACGCTTGCCTGATTCTTCTCACATTCATTTCTCCTTATCTCCTTTTGCTAACAAGTTGATAATCGATGTAAATCTATATATAATGATTTCAAGGAACGCATATTTCTTTTTTTTTCTCTTCTCCTTCCTATTTCTACGATAATGATATCTTGGTCAAAGAGAGAGAGAGAGAGAGAGAGGTCAACTTTCAATGATTAGTTTTATAAAACAGGAAAAGTGGGGGAGGGAAAAAATTTATATACATATACTTTTATAAATCTAAGCGGCTTATTTCAAGAGAAATGTAACATCAAAGTGTTTAATTCTAATGAAATGAGTGTTTTTAATTATAATAAAAATATGTTCAATTGTGTACAAACATGAAATTTGATATAACAAAATCTAGAAATGATGAACTATGGTATAAACATTAACTATTTTATACTTAAGATCTATTGTTGACAAATGAAAAGAAAAAAAAATGAAAGGCTAGATGCCTTATGACAACAATGCTGTTATGTAGTTAGGCATATGTTGGTCTAAATAGAATGTATACTTACGCATACATTGCTTCCTTTATGCAAGGTCGTTTTGGATCATCACACACACATTCTTTTCTCTTTTCCTCTCTTCTCCTACACATATTCTTTCTGGCTTTTTTTCATATAAGGATTCATCACTCACTCTCTTTCTTAATTCATCGACACCAATGATCGTCAATCATCACCGTACACGCAACATCATAGTCAGTGTATATATATATATATACACGTATGTGTTCACCTACATACAAGGGCAAATGAACAATTAACACGAGGATAGAGATAGAGATAGATGAACTTATTTATTAGAAAAATGAACACTAGCAAAGAATAAACTGTTAGATAGACATAGATTTCCTTGAATAGACAGATACATGATGTTTTTTTCGGTTGAATGTCAGTTAAAATAACAATACTACCGCAGCGGGTGTTTTTATTCATCCTACAGACGTACTCAAGTTTTTTTTTACTCTGTTCGATATCCGCTTCACTCACATCTTTTTTCTCTTCATTTCCTCTAACCGCATCCTCATATAAATAAAAAAAAAGAAAAAAGAGAAGAAAAAAACCTTCCGACCAACTGATATTAAACTATGGTTTTCGATGCACTAACTTCTGATCGAAATGCACAATATGTTTAATGATAATAGCGTTCGATGACACGGCGCCGTGACAAAAAATATATATAAACGTGTATATACATAGAAATTGTGTGTATTTATATATATGAAGTCCATTACATGAGAAATACGAGTGGGAAAGAAAGAGACATCGCTCTTTACCTAACCGTGAAATGTCGCGACTCTCTCACTATGTACATATTCTCTTATATATATATATATGTTCATTTGAGTGTTAATCAGCTGGTCTCTATCTCACCTGCATAAAAATGAAAGATGAAATTTCTCTTTTTCTTCTTTTTGCAGACATAAAATACGTGCTTCTTTTATTAGTCATATGTAGCACGCGTGTCAATCAAACAAAAAAAGATTTGAACATGCAAAAGCAATGCAAAGTCGATTCCATCTCGAGAGATGTGCTCGACGACTCATCGGGCACGATCGTCTCATGTACTGTTCAAGTGTCTATATATATATATATGGATGTGTAAGGTTCGATTACATCCTTATAAATAGATAGAATAAAAGACAAGACAATCTAGTATCGATGATAGTAATATAAAGGAAGATACTCACATAAAATAGATTAGTACACAAAAAAACAGAAGAGAAGAGACAGAGTCATGTAAAGTAGTATAGTCAACTATGAACATGTATACATGCACACAAAATAAAATGAACAATAAACATTTAAATAAGTACAGTAAATCAACTTTAACATGTGGTATTTGTTAAATCGATCTATCACATTAAATGTATATCGATACTCTCACGACAAATGAGTAAGAATAAATACAAATATCCTTAAGCGTCAAATGTTTTATCACCTATTACAATCATTGACTAAACTAATCGGAAAAATGATGCTTACTTAAAGATATCTATGTATTTGAAGTTTACATAAGACAATCAAATGACCTGTTGTCTTTTATTCATATTGTATGCATACAAAATACGCTTTAGAATAAAATGATAGATAAATGTATGGATGTACATCGTACACTATTCTCTTTCTCGTCGTTTTTTTTCTCTCTCTCGTTCTCGTTCATTTACGTAATAACAATCAAAGTTATAACGAGTCGTGTGTACGAAAAAAAAAAAGATATTAAATATTAAAGAAAAAATATTGATCAGTAGGTGGTGAATTCTACCGTTAATTTGTCTCTCATCGACATAGGTTGCATCACTCACCTGTTTCACATAGGGACAAGAGATATCATTGATTGATATGAGAAGTTATTCAGCTGTTCACTAAATATATGTATATATAAATGTGTATGTATAGTGAATTACTCAAAAAGAGAAATAAGATTATGTTCTTTGCCACTTGACTTAGTGAACGAATAAAAGAAGAAAAAAAGACAAGAGACACGGTGCAGTTAATGTTATGCATGTTAAGGAAGTAGCTACCGAGATCATTGTCTAATTGAATGGAGAATGAGAGAGAGAGAGGGTCGAATAGGCCCCGAAGGGATGACACACCGCATGCACACAACAGCCGTTTGCTCGATGAGATCCAATTACATGAGTACGGCAATTAACTAGCCCGGAAGTATGATCTTACTTATACATATATATATATAAATATATGTATGTATGTAATCCATCAGTTACAAACTTTTTTATATTATTTCTTACGAATAGTTTCGTCTGTTTTGAATGAAAAAAATAATATATGTAATGGGAATTGTCTTGATGTCTAATGGATGTAATATATATTTATATATAGTTAGTTGTTGATGTTGGTTCCGTCGAGACATAACTTAGTGTTGAACATATTCATAGAAAGAGGAAGAGAGATGTGGCAATGAATCGCTGTTAAAATATGTCGAGACGAGTCGATGCACAACAACAAACTATCATCATCATCATCATTAGTTGCATTAAGTCTTTTTCTTTATGTGAAAGCTATAAGTAGCTTAGATGCGCCTCAGTGGGATGGGACGTGCCTTAGAATTGTTATTACTACCGATAAGAGTGCTATATGAATGAACATTCTCCCTTGTCTTAGTAATGTTTATGCAAGAAAACACTCGTCCAGACACAAAGTCAAAAGATTAGTGTATTATATTAGATATGTGGCAATATGATCCTACAGCGAAATACTTGACCATAAAGTCGAATGTTTAGACAAAGACTCAGAAGAGAATCAAAAAAAAAACAAAATGCGTTCAAGGGTAATTGACATTATTGAGTGTATTGTATTTTGATTTATCTCTTTATCTTAAACTCATGTGTACTGATTGATCGCATCTTATTCTTTCTCACCTTTTGCTTTAGGCTCAAGAGGTCAGTTGTGTATATATTTGAAATGAACAGATGACGGGACTGGTTATTTCACATATACACAATTATCACGAGTTTATAAACAGATAACGAGCTCGACTGATGCCAGCCGACGACGAAACAGTAATATTAATTTTCTCCCGTGTGTATATTTATCAAATAAGATAAAAAAAAAAGGAAAGCTTCAATTTTGACCTTACTCTTTTCTGTGGTTGAAGATTCTTCCGGTTGTTAGTTATTCTCGCGTGCGTGCCATCTTATGATTACTTTAGTGTTAGCTTTCTTTCTTGTCTTTTCAAGTGAAATTCAATCTTGAGGTAGATGAATATATATATATATATGCTATACATATATGAATAAAAGAAATGAATGAATGATGTAATCTGAGAATAAAAGAAGTAACAGCAAATCTTACTTCTAATTACATCATATGCTTGCTTTCTTTCTTTACAATGATGAACTGACTAACTGACTATAGTGCATGGATGATTCAGGGACAATGCTCTTTTTCTTTCATTATTCGAAAGGTCACAAGCACAAGAAAAGATAATTGTATTGATGGAATCTTTCTCGCCTGACCATCATCTTATATTCTAAAAGATTGGATCAAAAGAAAACTATCATACTATTATCATTTGATTCTTTACTAATCGATCAAATTTATTTTTCTTTTCCAGTGAATACTATGAGACAGAAGGAAAAGGTTCATATGTTTAATTGTTGAACGAACAATTGATCGTAATTTCCCCAAGCGAATATATATGTATGTGTGTATATATGTACACAAAACGAAGAAGAAGAAGAAGTTTAATTGCTTACTGTTATTAGTGCTCTTTCAATGATGAATTTTCACACCAGATAAAGCACATACACTTACAAATTACTTTCGATTCAAGGCTGATCATTGTTGGTCAAGATATGAAATTTAAAACGATAGATAAGTGTTCAATAGAACCAGGTGCAAAAGTAATCATACGGATTGATGAGGCTTCATTTACAAGGTTATTAACAAATACAATACGAAAAGAAAATGAATGGATAAATGAATACATTCAACAGTAGTAGATTAGTTATTCTTAAAATTAGTAAAACAATAACAAATAAAAGATGCTGATGAGATAATCTGTCTTTTTCCGTCTCTAGTTTCCGTTACTGTCGCATTTGCATTGCGACATATATGTATATATATGCATATAGTTGTGTCAAGACGAAAGGAAATCAACTCATATTCTCAGCCTATTGATCAAACTAAATAGAATGTCTTCAAGACGGAAGACATACTCTGATTGCTATGCAGTCGCGTCATCATTTTGGGATTGTTCAACAATAGAAAATCGTAGACTAAAAGCGGATGTGTGCAACTAAATTAGATTGCTTCATTGCTCAATTCTGTTCTTTAAAAATTCCTTAAAATGTCCGATAGATAATGACATAAACATAAATGATTAAAGTCCATTATATGTCATAAAAAAAAGAAAGAATAATTATAGTTTTTATCTGATATACGTTAAAAAAAGAACCGAAAAGACAAAGTGTACTCTTAATGACATCAAAATGAGATAAATAAGGTTATGTTTATTTTATATATTATCTAAAAAGTATATTAAATATTTATGATATAATCGAAATGCCAGAAAATGTATAGATTAGTATAGATAAAAAAATATGGAATTGATTTGATGAAGTTATCAAAACGTATTTAAGTGTTATATAGTTCTGTTTTTTTTTTCTTCTTTGAATACATTGTTTGATAATGACATCGTTCGTAATATTAAAAATTCAATATTCAAATGAACAAAAAAGAAATGAATAAAGATTGAAAATATATAACTACTACAGTTCTTCCGTGATATTTTATTAAAATCAGTGTCGATTGACAGCTGTCATTTGAACATGATATTGAATATATCAATGACAGATATTCATCATCAATTTATTAAAGATATTTTCTTAATCATCGAATTCTTTTTAACACAAACGTTCTTTATACATTGAAACGAGTTACTTCTGCTTTTTGCTATTATATTTATCTTGTCAAATAAACTCAATAAATATATCCATTTGTAACTGATATCATCAATTTAAATCAATACAATTAACTAATTATTGATTGATATGATATATTTGATAATATCTAACAAGGTCTAGCTGCTAATTCATGTCATTGAAGATTTGTTTATCTAATAACATAATAGCAGTTGTACATTTTTAAGGTTTCTTTTTTGTATATTTTCTTATGCTATAATCTTCTATTGGTTACTTACTCCATAAAAAAATAACATTACATCGAAGTATATTAGTCTAAAGTTATTTCTTTTTGTTATAATTTTCATCGTTTTATTAACGTCAGATAAACTAGAGATTTTTTTTAATCATACATTTTGCTTGCATTTAGATGGCTCGGTAAAAATGACTAAAACCAAAGTTCTAACCTTCCTAGTATTTTACATATTTTTCATCTATAATTTGACATACAAAAAGAAATTTCTTATAGAAAACAACTTTCAAAAGACAAAATTGTTTCACTGCATGTTTTTGATGTCACTTAATATTCGGGATTTTACTCTATTGGATTATTGGATTTAAGATGAATTCGTGAAGGTTATTGACTGGAATAGAATAATATCCAAAGTAACAATGATCGAAGAATTAAAACATGCTATAAAAAATATTGTCCTTTGAAAGTTGTGTTTCTTGAACCAATCGATTTTGTAGAAGATTTCAGAAAGAATCTTTCTATAAAAAAAGCTTTTATATATCACATTATTGATGAAAAATATGTAAAATACTAAGAACCTTATTTTTAATTTATTAACTGATGAGAATTGATTTCAATTGTCGTAATATCTGCGTCTTAATCTGTATTAACTACCCAACCATCATCACGAGTACATAATAATGTATCACATACAACTATTGAAGTTTCAGCATATTCAATACATACAGCAAAATCATAATCATCATTAGATACTTCATTAATATTTTTTACTACGTTCACTTTCTTGATTATGTAAATAGTTTCGTAGATAAAAATTATGATTAGTTCTCATTTGTCGTATAAATACGAAACAATCAGATTCTAGATTAACGGCTAATACATGAACAGCATCAGATATCAACTAATTGTATCTCTTGTCGATCTACTGTATTCAAACTATAATCATCATCACAATAGCGTATAGAACTTAAATTTTTAGAAAGGCACAAAAAGTTTTTGTCAAACACTAACTAAATATCTGTGACCAATTATCTAACAATCGTCCGTCATTACAACTATACGTTATACCATATACTTTATGATATGCACATTTTGTTGTTTATTTTACAATATGAATAACATGTCTCAGTTACATCTAAAAAATGTTACAACATCATTTTCCTTAAATTTTCGATTATAAATATCATGAATGGCTATAATAACTCTACAACTAGCGTGACCCATTATAATTGGATAAGAAACACTTCCTAATCTTTCATGATGTATATGTATATCAGTCTCACATACTTTAGATATGATTGTATTTAATAAACTATATCTCCAATCGGTAATTCAAGCATAAGAAACTCTTTTATAGTTTTATAAGTTAATAAAAAGTTTTTCATAATTGCAGCTGGTACAATTCGATATAATATACGAAACATTTGAAAATAATTGTAAGTAGATTTCCTAATCGTATTATTTTAATTGACAGTGGGAATATTTATTATAGTACGCAGTCTCTTTCTTAATCCTAATTTCGTTTGATAATTGTCATTGAACGCAATTTTATAAATATAAACCAGGATAGAATAGGTCATACGTAACAAAAGAAAGAGCATACTTATTTCAATATTATATTTTCTATGAATAGAAAACCATGTGAAAAGACTAATTGGATTTGAAAGTGTTATAACACAATAATCAATAGTTGGTGAGAAAAAAAGATGTACGATTATAAATCAGTGATAAAAAAAATCTACGTAAAATCATTTGTACATCAAATAGATACGATTATATTTTAGTTATTAGAAGAATGAATATTCTTATAAACGGTATGTCCAACATAAATATTTAGCAACATGTATTAATTCATGAATCTTGGATCTTCTCAAAGTTTAAGATAGGTTAAACATCAATAAAACTTATTCTGTTAGAAAAAACAAGTGAATAGTATTTAAATGATTATTGTTCTCTTTATCTTCAGTCATATCTTGTTTTGTTCATAATGACAAAACATGTTTTTATTCATTGTAAATAGATGTAGAATTTGATCCATCTTATTTGAAATCTAATCTTACGTTCTTTTCTCATTATGTAGAAGATAAAATAAACTATATACTCTCGAGACAGTTACACAATAGCAATTTACTAAAGAATTGCGTACCTAGGAATATATATATATATATAATTAGACTTTTCTTTTCTTTTCCTCTTCATGTCACATGAGTTACATTTACATCGACAAGAGTAGTGTAATTGGATCGACTTAATTAAAGTAAAATGCAAACAAAACTCTAGTTTTTTTTCTCCCCTTTCAATTATTAGTAGTGTTTAATGTGATTAGGAGTCAATTTGATATTACTCTTTCGTCTGTATTCATTTATCAATACTTTGTTTTTTTTGCTAGTCTTAAATTCAAAACATTTGTTTATCTTGATTTTTAGGTTAGTCTGGCATTGATGTCGATAACAGAAATACTATTCTTATCGAATTAGATTCGAGATTTCTTATATGCAATGATGATTAATAGAAGATAGTTTTTGAACTGTTTGTTCCTTCATTTCAGTTCCTAAACTGTTCTCGAATAGTATTTAAATAAAAAAAATTAGTAACTGTTAAATGATACAAAGACAAGACAAAATTTATTAAACTACATCATCAAAAACGACTAAACTATTCCAGAAAAAAAAGTGCGAGATTATCCAAAAATCGTTCATGATAATGTTTCTTTTACATTCGAGCCAAGACAAAAGCAGCGATAATTACAAAAAATGTACTAAATGTTAATTTGGATGTAATTGCTGAATTGCACAAATCTTTTTCACAGCAGATACTAGATGCTACTGCATTACCTTCAACCTAAATAATAAAATCAATAATACTCTATCTAATATTTATACGAAAAACAAAGATCTTACTTGAACAGTACATCGTTCCTTAGCACAGCCACGTGTAACGCCACCAAGCAAAGTTCCTTTATAACATTTATTATCATCGCCACCGCAAGTCTTAATCGTATCCTTCAATTGTGGACAATTAGCTGTACATGCATCATGCGAATAGCATTGAAGTGCTAGAAAAAAATTCGTTTTTTGTTATTATGATAGAAACAAAATGAATTAGAGTTTTACCTTCATTAAAAGCAACACAACCAAGAAGTATGAAAGCAACAATAATGATGGATTTCATGTTTCTGATATGAGAAGACAAATAGTGCGTGTTCGTATAGTAAGAAAGTATACTTGTGGTTCTAGTCGGGTATTGAGTGCACTCGGCTTTTTATATTTTTCTCAGTGTGCTCATAGAGAGAAGAAAAAATGTGAGAGAAAAAAAAAGAGAAAGATAGAGATAGAACATCGTCGTATTTTTCTTTCTCTTCTATCAATCATCTATTTCTTACTTTGAATACTCTGTCCGTATAGAGTATTAATAGAAAGACCTTATATATTAGTTTGTTAATTTATAGGAACGAACATTGAGGAGTAGAGAACAATAATAGCAAATTGAATATGAACGCAGCATAACAGAAAAAAACAAACGACGAAAAGAAAAGAAAGTTCAACGATAGATGTTGACAATAGGGATGAAACATGGGTTTATATTGATTCTTTTTCTTCGTCTTTACTTTGATTAGAACTTTCACTGTTCAGAAATAAGTACGCGTTTATTTGTCTAGATTTTTTTCTCCGTAATAACGACATATATATTTATTAATAGTACAACTATACATCCTTTAGATCAAATAGATTCCCTGAAGGTATTCTTATCATATAATCTTAATTATAAACAACCTTTTTTTTCTTGCTAATACGATACAATGTATCATTTAAAAAACAAATATTTATTTATTTTATTTCTAATAATAGCCCTTATAAAGATACCATTATACAAAAGAATAACATATTTATATGTGCATATAGTATTTAACATAATCATGTATACATAAAAGTAATTATATTCATACAGATAGTGGCTATTGTAATTCTTGTAACATGAATAGATGAATTATAAAGATTGTTTGAACGATAAATACTAGGTAGAATATACCTGATATCGATTACTGATTTGGAAAAAGAAAAATATTAAGTACTTTTAAATATAAAAACTGAACGAATAATATAACAAAGAATTTTATTGTCTGATTAGTGACAGTAATAATTCACAAAGTCTTCATATCGTTTGAAAAGTAAAATAACATAAATATGAAAATGTCTATTTTGCAAATCCATAAATTTATTGTGCTTGAATGAAGATAGAATATATTTATTTTGCCTTGCAGACATTCAATAAGATGAATTGTCATGATTAGTAAGTTGTAGATTCATCAACATCTTGATTGACCTTCACATTCGATTTCTATTTACTTTTGAATCTGAACAGAATAGTTTATATTGAATCATTTTTTCAGAGAAATCAATAATAAGCTAACTACTTGTTAATAACACAAATGACATTATTTAAAAATATCATCAAAAGTGTAGCTGATAGTTTCAAGTTTTAGTGATACACTACTAGTCAAATATGATAGAATGAGCTCAAATTAGTAGTGTTGTATTGAATTGACATTCTAAGAATCATGTGAAAGTACTCAAACGATAATTTACTCTCATTCTGAGAGGTTTGAAATAACCACTAAAGAAACATCGATGACATTAATGATAGTTGTAAACAGGAATTTGAACCAGGGATTGAGTCTATTTCATATTGCAATCAACAACATCATTTACAATTATGATAGAATGTCTTTCATCAAAGCTATATGCAAGAGAGTGCACTTAATAATATTCTTTTTATTTAAAAAAAAAGCCTTTTAGATTGTAATAAGATATGTAAAGCTTCACTCTATATGTTAGTAGACAGTCATATAAAAAGTCAGATTATCATCATATTTGTATCTCAACATCACATTCACATTCGATCGGCTCTAATTCTTTGAAACTATGTTCGAAGCAGAAGAAAAACTGAAAAATTTTAATCAGTTCTGTGAAACAACTTTTTTTTCTACAAAATCGAGATATTTTGAAAGTACACTTAACGAAAAATAGTCTTCATATCGATAAAAGAAACAAATAGTTCGTGGTTGAAGGTCAATTGAATGTAACTAGAATATACATATACGTGTTATTTATCAAAAGTATTTCATATTTTCTGATAATCAGAAATTGCATATTGACAAATAATATAATGAATGCATTAAAACTTAATCATATTAATGTGAATAAGGTTATTATAAAATAAAATTATGATTGATAAACTATGAAACTTTATTTATTTTATCAAGAAATAAATCACTAAAAATAATTTTCGTGCTCATCGTTATATAAGAACAATAAATTCTTAAAGGTAAAAACTAACTAAATAAGTACGGATTAAAAAAATAAAAAAGTTAGGATACAGTTTTGAACTGCATCCTATGTCGTTATTGTATAATACTATTTGTTTATAAACCTTGTTGAATGAAACGGAGAAATTCAGCACGGTTAAGTTTTCCATCTTGATCTTGATCAGCATTTCGGAAAGCAGCATCGACGACATCGAATCCACTGCCTCCAGCACTAGCACCACCAAAGCTAGCACCACCGAAACTAGCACCAGCAGCACCGAAACCAGCATCAGCACCAAAGCTAGCACCAGCACCACCGAATCCAGCACCATTAACAGAGTTCGATTCAAATGATGATGATGATGATGATGAAAATCCACCACCAAAACCTGCATCGGCACTGTATCCATTGCCTGATGATTGAAAGCTTGATGATTCTTGTGATGAATATCCAGCACCACCGAAACCAGCATCAGCACCAAAACTAGAATTAGCACCACCAAAGCTAGCACCAGCATTTGAACCGAAGCTGGCACCACCGAAACTAGCATCAGCACCAAAGCTAGCACCAGCATTTGAGCCGAAGCTATTGCTGTCGAAGTGTGATGATTGATTGAAACCATTGTTCTCTTGACCATATGATGCTGCACTATAACCAACAACAGCACCACGAGCAGCGGGTGGTGACTAAACAAGTTTGAAATACGATCAGAAATATTTCTCAATAGCTTAGATAAAAATCAAAAACACTTACAATGTCTTCGACAACACCAGCAGCACGAGCTTGTTGTAAAAGTATGGATGAAGTGAGAAGGTTACCACCATATCGTTGAACATAAGCTTGTGGGTTTTCTTGTGTAACACCTAAGCGTTGGAATTGACGAACAACACGTACTTGTGAAGGTTCGTATTGAATGATAACGTTGCGTGGTTTAGCATATTGTTGAGCAGCACCAGCACGTTGTACAATTGTACGACGTTTGCATTGTGCTCCATAGGGAACCCATCGTTCGATGATGACATCACCTGTAGATAGAATAAAAATATTAAGTATAGTTTATGAAGAATTTTTCTTTCAATTATAACGTACGTGGTTTAGGTGGGAGGGGTGGCATACGTTCAATGATGACTGATCGTGGTGGAACTGGTAAAGCAGCTAAACGACGAATGACAGTTTGTGAAGCAACTGAAGCTGGTGGTTGTGGTGGTCTTTCACGAAGAACGAGTGGGGGTGGTTGAGGAAGAGCTGGAGCTTGTTGACGAATGCGAAGGGGTGGTGGTGGAGGTGGTTGAGGTGGACGAACTTCTTTGATAATGAGTGGCTATATAATAGAAAATTTTTAGATAATGAAAGAAGTTAAAAATACTGAAAAGAAATAACTTACACCTGGTGGTGGGATTGGTGGTGGTTGAAGGAAGCGAATTTTGATGTTTTGTGTATATGTTTTAACACCACCTGCAGCTGGACGGCGGATGATTTGTGGATTTGGATCTTGGTAGAGTCCTTGAGCATCAGTTGCATATCTTTGAACATTTGTTTCTGAACTGTATGCTTGACCTCCGAATCCGTTACTTGATGATTGGTATGATGATGATGATCCATAGTTTGATGCGCCACCAAATCCAGCAGAAGCACCATATCCACTGCTGCCTGATGATTCATAGCTTGATGAACTACCATAGTTACCACCAGCTAAACCAGCACCTGCGTTAAATCCAGAGCTGCCAAATGATGACGATGATGATGATCCATAGCCTGATGCACCATCAAAGCTAGCACCACCTCGATTACTACTGATCCATTGTTGAAATTCATTTCTATCGATGGCACCATCACGGTTGGTATCAACTTGATCGAAGATTGAGCGAGCATAATTTGAATTCATGATTGTAAATTATCACTGATAGATTAAATAAATGAGTATCTAATCGAATCGATAACGATGAATGTGATTACTATCGATTTTTCTCCGTATATATATAGTCAGTCTAGGATATCATATGAGCGTCAACTCCTTTAAATCATTCAAGCATATATTATGTAAACATTCTTTTTTGTATAGATTACCACCACAAAACCGACAATCAATCCCTAGATCGGTTAACTACACCTTTTTTTGTAGTTAGTTCTTACCAGATAGACAACCCACATGAAGGGAAAAATATCACCATTTCTCTCTCTCTCTTATTTCATATAATATACTAAACAAAAGACTCCTTGAGAAGCTGTAAACAAAAACATACAAAAAAACATGTTCGTCTATATAACGAATTTAATGCATGTTTATTCGTTTTTTTCGATATTAATCAGATTTATTTTGATCGTTCTCGATAAAACAAATGTATTGAGGTATTACCAATCATTTGTTTTTTTGACGCTCCTCATGTGCATACTTTGCATGATCGATGACGTACATCGTACGAGTAATAAAAACTATACAATACAACAATGATTATCGGAGGATGACTGTATGTGACCCCAGAAAATATCGATAAACCGTAGGTTCATACTCAACTCAAATAAAAATAAATTACAGTCATTTATCTAAAAAGTTATTCTATGTTAAAAGACATTAATTATGTATGAATATTATATAATAATATGTGTATTGAACTATTTATACAAGAAAAACCAATTTATTTTCAATATGATATTTAATCAAATGTTTTTATGTAAATCAACTGTTTGGAATAAACAAGATTAAATATTTTTTTAAGAAATTTCTTCTAATATTACATGTATTTGATATTTTACTATTATAAATCCTATCGAGGTTGCCAATATTAAACTATTGAAGAAATCATATCTATTAAGTTATTTTATATCAATACTAATATGTAATATATTCACTTTAGATTTATAGATAAATCAATTTATTATGAATATGTTATAATATTACGATTCTACATGTATACTATTTTAGAAATACACAGTAAATAAGATAAAAAGTTAACAATACTTTGAATTTTCTTTCTTCTGTGAGAGCATAAATATTGAATTTATTCGCTATTATTAAGTTGAGGGTGTGGGTATGAAACGAATATAATATCCATCCCCTCACTCATCTACCTGCATCGGCATTCATATCCTCAAGATGTAGCACAGATATATTTAAGCATACCTATAAATAGATAAGCTCTTGTTTTTTTTAGTAAACTATCATCACTACACTAAAAAAGGGTATAAGAAGGTATTGTCAACAGTAATATATTTACAAAGCCGAAACGAGTAATATAAAAAATGAATTCATTGCAACATTCTATGTATATGTACATTCCATCACAGAAATAATTTTAATAAAACTCATTTTTCAAAAAAGGTAATTCTCTCGTCCACGCTTGCTTTCTTTCACAAATACTCATACAAAACAACTATTCTCTAAGAAAAAAATAGACTGCCACCAATCATATTCGTAAGCAATTTCGTCTTGAAGGATGAATGTGGGTGTAATATGGTTTAGATACTAAAACCCACACCTCAAGCTGACTACACTTATTATATGTTTAATTGTATAATAAAAAGATTATCTGACTAATGAAAGTAAAAAGTGAAAAATTCCATCGTTTGTTATTAGCAGAAGATATGAACAATGGCTACTCCAATTTTCCATTGATTTGATCGATCCAACGGTAGTATAATGTACTTTGTGTACTGAGCCCTTAGAGTAGACTGTGCTTACATCAAAAACATGAATGTCGATAGCGATACGACCAACTAAATAAGCTATTCCAACGTCATCATCAAATATACTAACTTTTCCCATCAAATTTACCCGCACCATCCAGTCCAGAAATCACTGATAATCACAGAAATCGAGTGAAATTTTCAGAGATTATTAGAAATAAAACAAATCTAGAAGTTTGTTTTTTCCTCATTACTATCAATGAATTTTTTACTTTCGTTCAGTATATCGTCTAAGACATAATCGTCGAACTGCTCATAGCGTCATCTACAAATAACAATCGTAAATGGTTTATTTTATCCACCAGCAATGGAACAATGAAATAAAACGTACATTTTGA